AGTTGAAAATTTGAAACATTGTAATTTGGTAATTTAGATTCTGCTTCATATTAGGTTTTTAAAATTCATTAATATTGATTGAAACCTGTATATACCTTTATTTTCATTGTCATGCTATGTTTTGATTTATGAATATAATTCAATGCATCTTTGGTTGACAATATGAAAAAAGATGACATGAGCAGTTTTATGTGTCTCGTGAACACACACAATATATAATGTAGGACAGGTGTCTGGAAACAGAATTAGCAGATGATAAAGTTCATTTTAGATTATACTAGGTAAGCTTAAACTATTTCTTAGCAGTTTTACTAGTTAACTAATAACTGTGTATAAAAAATCGCTGTGGTTTTTTGAAAACATCATTTCCAACATTTTGTTTGTCAGAGTAAATATCGATTCATTGCTGAATAAAAGATCATATCTCCCTTTAACTCTTAGTACATATTTCCCTGATTCAACATCGTTTCATGTATTTAGACACTTGAAAGACATATCTGTGAAATCCATTTTCATGACTTCGGCTGATTTTTAAAAAAATTGATTGTTTTCTTCCACCCTAATTTGTAAGAAACATTCAAATATTCTGGAAAATCAGTCTTGGCAGTTTTGTCCTTATTAGAAATACTTTCTCCTACTTGGAACTTTTTTTTCCATGTATTTTCAGAATGTTTTGAATAAACTGATCATTTTACACATTGGTCATTTTCTTTGTGGTCACAGGTATGTTACCATAATTTATGACTGGAGGTCATACCTTCAGAAAAAGTGGATAAACAATGTACCCAAGTTAATACAGAAAATTAGTGATAGAACTGCATGAAAAGTTGGGTAGTTTGATTTCATTGCTTTGTAGACTACTACACTATACTACATTCCTTCATTTGAGGCTCAGAGAAAGAAAAAGAAAGCAGAATCAATCTAAAAAATTTTAAGAACAGTAATAGTAAAAATGTAAAGAAGCAAAAGTTCTGAAAAATCTTATTATACTTTGTAATTACTTTGTGAGAATAACAGTGCAATGGGTTTTGTAGGTTAAATTTATTTCTATTACAGCCAGTGGTTATGGTTTAGATCTACAATGTTCCTAAAAGATTCATGTCTTAAGAAGTAGGGCTTTTAGAAGGGGGTTAGATCATGGGTGCCTTATACTTATTAGTGGATTAATCCATTGACGAGGTCATTGATGACTGCACTGTTGGGAGGTGGGCCCCATTTAGTGGAAGTGGGTCACTGGGGTGTCTTTGGAGGGTACATTAGCCAATTTGGCTCACTTCCCCTCTCTCTGTGCTTCCAGGATACCCTGAGTTGAACGAGTTTCCTCTGCCACAGCGCCTCTTCCTTACAGTTATCCACCATGCACTGAAACCTCTGAAATGGTGAGCCAAAATAAACCTTTCTCCCTTAAGTTGTATAAATTACATACATTGTCCCAACAATAAAAATGTGACTAATACACCAGGTTTGGGGTCTGCAGATAAAATAAGGAGAAGAAAAGCAATGGTAAAAAGGCACTAATTTAATGAAGATTAAATTATATTCAGAAGAAATATTTATTGTAACCTAAATTCACTTCTAATGAAAAAAGTTTGCTCATAAATATTAACTAAATTTGTATGCTGAGAGACAAAAGTAAAATCCATGTACATTTTATGATCAATATTGGGATATTTAATATGTAAAAATTTTCCCTAAAATAAAGTTAATATTAGAGAAGAGTAGTGCCCCTTATTGCTCTGATACTTCAGATTATTGAAGAGGGAATCAATCTAAGAAATTTATTTTCATGTTTAAATAATATTTTATTCATTAATAGGTTGGAAAATAGACAACCAGAGGTAGAAGAGACATTGTAATATAATACAGGTCCTGAAAAAGGAAAGTCTATAGAGATTGTTTTGCTATGAAGACAGTACAACAGTTAGGAAAGGGCAGTAATCTGTGAGGACACAGAAAGACTGAGCAGAAAAAAGACAAGTTGTGAGATTGAATTGATGATAAATTCTCCAAACAAAAAAAGGCCAAGACTAGATGGTTTCATTGTTGAATTTTACTAAATTCCTGAAGAATGAAGGCAAACTCTATTCCTAAGAATTAAGAGATGGAACCCTTTCAACATCCTTTGAGGTTAGCACTACCCTGATTTAACAAAAGGAGAGGAAGAACAACTGAAAAAGATAACTAGATCAATATCCCTGATAAACAGAAAAATTCCAAAAAATACTACCAAATGGAATCCAACAGTACATTAAAAAATGTCACTATGATCAATAGGACATTTATCCCAAGGATAAAAGGATGACTCAATATATGCAAATCACTCAATGTCACAGTGATAAAAATCCTGAATAAGCTAGGTGGACAAAGAATGTACTTTAACATAATACATGCTAATCATAAAAAACTCACCACCAACATCATACTAAATGGAGAAGAGCTGAAACTATTTCTCCTAATATCTGAAATAAGACAAGGATCGCCACTCTTCCTGCTCTCATTCAACATGCTACTGAAAGTTTTAGCCAGAATAATTAGTCAAGAAAAAGAAATTAAAGCTATGCAATGGGAAAGGAAAAAGGCCAATTACCTCTTTCTATAGGTAAGATTCCACGGATAGAAAATCTTAAAGTTTCCACCAAAAGACTATTTGAACTCACAAATGAATTCAGTAAAGTTGAAGGATAAAATATTGACATTCAAAATATCAGTAGTACTGTTATACACAAATAATCAACTTCCTGTGAATGAAATCATGAAAGTAATCTTACAATAGCTATGAAGAATAACAGGGTACCTAGGAACAAATTGAACCAAGGGGGTGAAAGACCCTCATGGTGAAAATTACAAAACACTAATGAAGGACACAAAAAGATGGACTCACCTTCCATGTTCATGATTAGAGAAAGTAATATTGTTAAAATATCCACATTACCTAATGTAATTTGCAAATTCAATTCCATTACCAACAAAATATCAATGACATTCTTCATGGAACTAGAAAAAAAATGCTAAAACTTGTATGGAAGTAGAGATGATCTCAAAGAAATCTTGCTCAAAAAGAACAAAGCTGAAGATCTCACATTACCTGATTTCAAGACTTACTACAGAGTTGTAACATCCAAAATAGTATGCTATTGGCAGGCAAATTGACACACAGACCAATGGAGCAGAAAAGAGGCCCCAGGAAGAAACCCACACATTTGGCAATAAAAGCACCAAGAGCACACATTCGGGTAAGGACAGGCTCTTTGATAAATTGCTCTGGAAAAGCTGGATATCCACATGCAAAAGACTGACATTTGACTCCTGTCTCCACTCAGTGCAGAAAATCAATTTAAGATGTAACCAGTCAATATAAGAAACATACTTAGTGTCATAGGCCATCAGGAACATTTCAATAAAAACTACAATAGGATATCATTTCATTGCTGTTAGATTGGCTATTATCAAAATGGCAATATACGACACATGCTGTGAGGATGTGGGAAAAAGGAACACTTACATACTGTTGTTGGGAATGTAAATTAATATAGCCTCACAGAACTAAAAATCAATCTGGCATATTATCCTGCTATCCCCTTTCTACTTATACATCTAAGGGAAATGCAACCAACATTCCAAATAGATACTTGCTTTTCATGTCCATCACATGACATTCACAGTTCTATACTATTGACAGTTCATAATTGCACTATTCACAATTCACAATTGCATCACTATTCACAATTGCAAAGATATGGAATCAATCTAGATGTTCATAGACATACAAATACATAAAGAAAATAGGATATAATGGGATGTACATATATATATATGTTATTCAGACATAAGGAAAAAACAAAATTTTGTTATTTGCAGGAAAATAGATGGAACTGAAGAATATTATGTTAAGTGGAATAAGACAGATACAAAAAGACAAATATCACATATTTTCTCTTACTCATGGACTCTGTAAAAGCCAGACTAAATAAAGAATACTGGAGTTTCAGGAGGGGAAATGGGAGGGAGGATACAGTCAAGTTGGATAACAGATACCAAAATACAGTTAGATAGAAGGACTAGTGTTGTACAGTACAGTGGGGAATGATTATACTTGACAATAACCTATTTTGTATTTCATGAATATCTAAAAGAGAACAGCTCCAATTTTCCAAATATAATGGATAAGGAGTGGGGAATGCTAATTACCCTGATTTGATCAGTGCATACTATATCCATTGTTGAAACTTCATACTGTGGTTATTAATATATACAATTATGTTAACCAAAATATAAAATTTAAATCCTAAATTAAATTTTTAAAAAATCTCCTAGGTTTTACAGCAGTCAATATTTTCAACAATGCCTATTTATGTTAGTGCTGTCCTTCATGAAAATTATGCTTCTTTAAAAACTTCTTCCTAAGTCAGAGAAGTCTGACAATGCAAAGCAATCTAATATTATATAATGATTCCTGAACTCATTTAATTGATTTTAGATTCAAGGTTTTACAATGCTTTTAGCTAAAACTGGACTTTTGACATCTCATCCCCATATATTAAAGCAGGAGATAATATTCGGTGAACCATTGAAATTTCTTGTAACAGTCTCCAATATGTATACAGAGGATATCTAAAAAAGAGGAAGACTCCCTAAGTAAGAGTTGTTTTTCACATTTTTATTGTGACAGTTATGTCGTTAATGTATATTATATTTTTGAAAGTATTTTGATATATTTAAGAAAACACTGAATGTAGAATTTTAGAGATAAGGAGAGTATCAGCTGAGAAAAGGAGAAGGAACAAAGCCAATGAAAATAATCAAAACATGTTATATACATGTACCAATATATCAGAATGAATCTCATTTTTCCGTGTTATATTTATATACCAATTTTCAAAAGAACAAGGAAATGCATTACAGTATTTCTCAGCATCTTTAGCACTTGCTATTTATAGCTTACATACATAATATAAATAAATAATGAGCAGATATTTAAGTAAAAGATTTAAGAAACTTACTCTTTTTCCAGGAGGACCTGGTGGGCCAGCTTCACCAGATGGACCAGGAGGACCCTGTAAAATGTGCAAAACACTTTTTAAGAAATTAGGTATTACTGTATTGACTACATTTCTCAATATCTGAACTGAGAATTTTTTCCTCATTTCTTCACTTTTACTTTTCCTGATAAAATTCAAGCTTATGTCAGACACCTAAACTTCCTCTAGATAACTATATTTAAAGTTGTAAATTCATATGTTATATTTTTTCACAGTTAAATGAGAGTAACTGACATTCTTACTATGCAAATCTTTGTCTTTCTAAAAAGGGCTAATTTGTTTCTGGCAAGCATCCAACATCTACATTAATTAATAGAACCATATGGTTAATAATTTTCCCAATTGACATAAATTTGTGAAACCACAAAACAATTACCTTTAAATTTCTTCTTGCATAACACTAGAATTTTTTTCCCAAACTGTACAAAAATTCTGGGATATAATCTACAAATATTATCTAGACAAAATAAGTCTACATCTCTGCCTGCAAATATCCAGTGGACACAACTCTAAGCATGACATTGTGTTCAGTGTATAGTTTTCTTGGGCAAGTTAGTTTCTTCCCTTACTTCTTCCTTAAATAACCCATGGCCAGAGCTCAATTTATCATTTATCAATTAAAGAAAAAAAATTTTATACTGTACTATGCTATATTCATTTAGGTTCATAACTTAAATAATTTATGTCAATGAAAAGCTACCAAATTGTTTCTTTCCTTCCCTCTTGTGTGTATTTTAAAAATACTTTTCTACATAACACAAATGGATATATGACTGAGTCTGACATTATATGTTAATATCATTAGTATGATGTAACTACAAATTTTCATTATGAAGACTTGGCTTATGCATTATATCTGAATTCACATCAAGAAACACTCCATGTAAGATTGACTTTAGACTGGAATTCAAATATATCTTTTGGAAAAATGTAGACAAACTCAGCTGTGCTTCTGAAAGGCTGATCATTTCTGATTCTTTCTTTAAAATAGCTAGAAAGTCCCTGAAGGTTAAAAACAAGTTACTGCGCTTGCTCACCGGTTGTCCGGGATCTCCATCTTCACCCTTGTCACCACCAACACCGTCTTGACCCTATGATCAACGACAGAAAATGAACTTAGATATTTCTCCCTCTGTTTCATTTTTATCAGGGAAAAAAGCTTCAATAGGCTATGCTAGTGTGTTCTTGAGATAAACTATTACCAGATGGAGGAATAAACTCATACTATTTTTAAAGAATTATGATGTTTTTGCAGTCTTTCCAGAAAGATTTGTGAGACTGCTACTAAATCAAATTGAAAACATACTACATATTCTACATAAGCAAAGGAAAAAATGTAATTAACATGCAAGACCAGGGCATCTTTTCATCATGAATAAATACAGTGCAGTTTGAGATAGTATGTGTAGTATAAAAAAGACAAAAAGAAAACAAGAATCCTATAATTCAAAAATAATAATGTTGCTACTTGAATAATTTGTACAACTGAAAGTTTGGAAAACTAATTCAAATGAAAAGCATGATCATGCAATATACATCTAATCATTCCCAGCTACATAAATTTTTGGTGTTATTACTGTTGCCTAGTTTTTGTTCTGTTTCTTGAATGATTTTCTTTAATCATTATGAATAAAAAGACATTGGGAATACTCCACCAAATCATTCCTTCCTTTTTCAGTGATACTTACTGCTGGGCCAGGTTCGCCAGGAGGACCAGGATCTCCAGGAAAACCAACAGGACCCTGAAATGATGTTTTTAATGGAAAACAATTTAAAAATGAATTTTTATAAGGCTATGATATTTTGAAATTTAAGAGGATAAAATCAAGCCAAAGGCCTGTAAGAATACTTTTGTGCTGGTCAATTTCTTAAAAGTAAAACCAATTAAAATTGCTTGGAATACATGAAATGATTAAAATTCAGCTTCACTAACTATGGTCCAAAATATCATGATTTCTATCTTTCTATGCAAAGGTCCAGAATGAATTTGGCCAAAATCACTTACCGGGTTACCCTTGGGGCCATCATCACCCGGTGGCCCCTTAAGACCAGGAGGTCCAGCAGCACCAGGTGAGCCAGCTTCTCCTTTCTCTCCTCTTTCTCCTTTGGGACCCTATAAAAGGAAAAAATCAAGTTACTTTACTAGCATTAAATAAGAGCTTTTTAACCTTGGCACACAATTCTTTGCTATGTTTGTCCTGTGGGTTGTAAAACGCTTAACAGTATCTATTGCCTTTACTAACTAAACGCCAGCAGCCACCACGCCTCCATCTCTGATCACCCAAAATGTCTCCAGATATTGCCAAATGTTTCCTGTGCCAGGCTTAATGAGGAGGCACAACTTCATACTTGGTTTAAACTAACCTGTGATAGACTAGTGCAATTCTGGTACAATTTAAAAATGTTTATTAGATGCAGCAAAGGTTATTTCATCTCTTTTATGTAAAATGCATCAAAGTCAGTGAACAGCTTATACTTTTAATGGTTTTGCTTATGCAAATATGATGATTTTTTTCAATTTGTGTGTGAATCTAAATACGTAAAGGGTATGAAGTTATTAAACAATAAGGCTTTGCATTTATGATTACTTTTAAAGGGTTAGAAAGTGAAAGTGACAAAGTGAGTCATAGTTAGGAATTAAGTTACATGTTTAAAATGCTTTAAAAGAAACTCCTGAACCTATGCCCTATGGTGACAATAAGACAGCACTTACACCTGTGCCTGCTTCACCAGGGGGCCCTGGGTTCCCTGCTTCTCCAGGTTCACCCTATAAAAAAATCAAATGAGGTTTAAAACAGAAGCATTTTCCATATTTAAAACTCTCTTCAGTTATGACTATATCATTGTAGACCATCCCTAAATTATTATTTTGTGTATAAAGCATCAAAAGTTGGATAAAAGAAAGGAGCTTTCTGTATTTCTGACTTAAATATTTGTATTAATCAGGTGGGAAGTGAGAACTAGATACACTAGATGCTACAGCTTTCCTAAGTAACAGCCACATTAATTCAGGTTACCACCAACCATCGTAACAGACAACTGCATGTTTCCTAATAAAATATGGAATGCAGATATTATAGCCTCAATATTCATATTATAACCAGGTTTATTGATTAAATATTTCAAATTATTTTTACTGAAATATAAATTCACCTTCTCTTTATTACATCAACAAATAATTGGGTAATATGCTGATGATATTAGAGAATACATTTAGTAGAGATCTAAAGAAAACAGGAAAAGATTATAATTGTGAAATATAGAAGGCACTTGGACACTAACAATTGCTCTATTTGAGTACAAACATGTCATAATTTTGATAGTTTTTATGATCTCTTTGTTTAGAAGGTGATGGCTATTCTCTACTCTAGCAAACTAATAAATCTCGTAGACTAGAAGCTAAAATCTATGGCTAACGTCTCATACTTAGAAATATACAAAATATAACAGTGTGTTCAAGTTACCATTAAAGTGAGGTAATACAGTACATAAATGTACTGTGTTTAAATAATCGATGTTATTGATTTGAAATGGGAATTGTTGTAAATTGAAAAAATAATATGAAGCTTATGCATCCTTTAATTTTTAATACAGATATTTCCAGTATCTCTGGCAGAAGCTCACTCCTTCTGAATTGGCTTGAAATATATCATGTTAAATATTATCATATTTCCAGAGAAGAAACTTTTATGTTTATTATTCCCTATTCCCTGAGAACTTGTATATATTTTAACTTCTTCAATTATATGCATAATGGTGGAAGACATAAAGTACTTTCCAGAAATTTATTAGCAGAATAATAGTGTGAAAAACTTCCTCTCTGAGGATGAATGGTAAAAATTTCTAGTATTTTGTGTAAATCTCACAAGTGAAATATTCCACTTACATTATTCATGAACAAAAATCACCTATCTCAGGATGATAGAATGATATATAAGTAGTGTTTTTTGAACTGTTATTTATGTCTTTGAAATGAAACAAGTAGTTTGTCACTCAAATGAACTGTAACGTGTCCATCTTAAATATTTTATATGAATACATACATATTATTATTTTAATAATATAGAACAATATTGGTAATGTTAAAATATTTTGTTATGTATTAACCAGGGGAATATTGTAGAAAATTGGAACTACAGGAAAAAAGAACTATCGTCTTTTTTTTTTTTTTTTGGTACCAGGGATCGAACTTGGGACCTTCTGCTTGCGAGGCAGGCGGTGGAACCACTGAGCTAAATCCCCGGCCCAAACTATAGTCTTTTTAATGAGGCTTTATATGGTTTTTCTCTTCGCTTTTCAAACTTGTCAATTATAAATTTAAACTAACAAAGATTCTGAAAATATTCTTCCAATTTTTAAATGGTAAAACATTTAAAGAAGAATGTTTTTACTACAAAAATGGTTACTTGTTTTGAGGAAATTTTTGAAGTTCAGATATAACTAGAGCAAATATTCATTATATGAAAAATAAATGTATTTACACAAACTGCAGTGTGACTAAGGCTATTACATTCTTCTATTCAGTCAGATTTGAAGCTGATGTCAGAATATTGTAATCTATAGCAAATTATATTACCCTAGATTCTAAGAAAAGATCAGAATTTTGTTTCTAGCCTGCTCTTTGTTACATAGGAAAGTTAAGAAAATAAAAGAAAACTGAAAACTCCTTGTTTTGTAATTTAACTAATTTCAAATTGGGCATGATGAAAAGGAAAAAGGTAAGTTATCGATCTGATTGAATCATTCTCACAAGCCCCATGTCTCACTCCAGAGGCTTTACACTAAATGGAAACAATGTGTGACTTCCTTAAAACAAACATCTGGCACCAGGGTCTATTTTCAAGAGCTTTTCAGAAAAAACAGCAAGAACGAAGCAAAGAAGTGCTTAAAATTATTCCCTCTGCATTCTAAATCTTCAGGAAACAAGACAAGCTGAAACAGGTAATAAATCTGAAGGCTAACTTTCTCAGTTTTCTAGACAGCATTAGAGCCTAAAGAGATGCGATAAAAGGAAAAGGAAAATGTGTAAGGTTGGTATCCTTTACAGGCCAGTGCTGTCTCCTACTGTTCTTTTTAGGATAAATGAATCCAATGATAAATGTTTTTTCAAACGCAATCCAACCACCGGATCAATTTACACACAAAACTTTCAATTAAAAAAATATAAAAAACATCCAAACAAATAACATTGTTTTTTCATTAAAACTATAATAATTTTTAAAATGTTTTCCAATTTAGCTCGATGTGGTAGCACACGCCTGTCATTCCAGTACTCCAGGAAACTGAGCAAAGAGGACTACAAGTTTTAGTCCATCCTGGGCAATTTAGCAAATAAAAAATGGGCTATATAAAAACAAATATTAAACAACGGGCTGGAGATTCTGGGAATGTAGCTCAGTGCAAAGGCCTTGGGTTTGTTCCCCAGTACTACAAAAGAAACACAGTAGAGAAAGAGAGAGAGAGGAGAGGAGAGGAGAGGAGGGGAGGGGAGGGGAGGAGAGAGGAAGAAGGAGAATTTACTGTAATTTAGTAAGTAATGAACTATTTTTTTTTTTTGGTACTGGGGATCGAACTCGGGACCTTGCGCTTGCGAGGCAGGCGCCAGAACCACTGAGCTAAATCCCCGGCCCAGGAATGAACTATTTTGATAGTTAATCATATAGAGGTAATCGTAATATAGATACAAGAATGTGAGTGCTTTGCAGAAGTAAATATTAAAATAACATTTTAATTTCATTACAGTTTATATTGGGAGGAGTTAAATCCTTTAATTAAAATAAATGAATTTGAAAACTAGTTAAAATATGTGAAAAAGGCTTGATATCAAGAAGGGAATCACTTTTAAAGTATGGGATAAATTTGCACCACTGATACTTTTTAATAAATAGCAAATTCAGAAAACTTACATTTTTTCACTGAAAACTATTTTACAGTATGAAATTTAATTCTTTCAAAAATAGTAAGTAAATTATTTTTTAAAATCAAGAAAACATGTTAATTTTCTTGCAATTTCTACTACTAAGTGAGCATAAATGCAGACATTAAGAAAGAACTGACTGATTTTGACATTTTTATAAAACAAAGAGCACGTATTTGGATGAAATCATGTTCACCAGAAAAGCTATTTTGAGCCCAGATATTATGGCATATGTCAATTATTTTGAAAAATGTCCAAGACAGGTCATAGTATTAGCAATGAAAATACAACCCAATGTATTACAAGTTCAATGATTAATTCTTTTGTTTTGTGAAGGATTCTATTTCTCATTTAAGTTAGTTATACTGAACAATCTCTTCTTTTTTCAGTAGTAAATACAGATATTTTACTTTCATCCCACATTCATGATTGTAGTACATTCTGGTGGAGTCACCTAACAAAAATCTTTGATGAAATTACTAAAATTCTTCCTCTTCTGAAGTGTTGTGAGGATTGAAACCCAAGGCACCCTACCACTAAACCACACCCTCAGTCCTTGTAAGTTTTTATTTTAAGATAGGTCTTTCCCAGATGGCCTTGATTGATTATCCTTCTGCCTCAGACTTCTACGTAGTTAGGATTAGAGGTGTACGACTACTCTCAGCTCCATGATTAAAATTTCTTAAGATTCCATTTTCCAGTTTACGAAAATGGATAATGATATCAAAAACATGCAGCTGTTAAAGAAAGTAGTTTATGCACATCATTCATTCAATATCTTGCAATCAAAAGTATGATATCTCAAATATTATTTTAACTTTAATTTGTGTAACTACTAAATGAGAGGTGAGTCACATAACTAGATAAAAAAACTTAGAAAATGCTAATACTAGAAGCATTTAAAATATTAGGAACATTGTCAGAAAACATTAATTTCTATGTTCTCAAATTTCATATCACTAATTTCCTTACCTTTTCTCCAACACCACCAACTGATCCAATAGATCCTGGGGGTCCTTGTGGTCCCTGGAATTTAGAAAAAGTAATACAGTTGTCCTTTTCTTAGAACAAAATAGAAAGTTAATAAACATACATCTAGTTTCATCTAAAAGAGGGAGAATATATGTAAGAAATTTCTGAATAATTACAGGGTTGTGATAAAATGATGACTTTTATTGAGTCATTAAATTCACTCATCCAAATAATTTACTATATCACATTAACTTTCAAACATCAGAATTTAAAGATAAAGGAGGAGATTTTCCAGTTTTCTTCATGCCAGTTAATCCTTGGATCATGATTTCAAATCTCTCTTGCCATGGAATAGTTAGGTCAGTTTTGCAAGGTGATTTTGTAGTGGATCAAAATTATGACTCCATTAAATAATTACATAATCCATACGAAAAACACCACTTATAAAAATTGTTTTTGCCTTATATTACTTAATGCGAATTAAAACTCCAGAGTTCTTTTAGGTCAATAGCTTCTACTCTATATGGTTCTGGGCTTCTAGAATTAGAAGCAGGCATAGAAGAGCAATAAAAAATCAGCCATAAGAATGAAGAGATCACATATTTTGATCACACAAAATACAAAATACAAAGTCAGAACTAGATCCCCAGAACCTAGAAATCCACTCATCACAATAAGATAAATGTGACACTACTTTTCCAAATCCTACAATATTGGACCAATTTCCAAGCTTGGAAAATACTCTTTTTATACAACTGAGAGGAAACATTTTTCATGCTGAAATGTGTACTTGTTCACATATTGCTTTCACATATTTTTTTAAATTTTTTTAATTTTTTTGGTACCGGGGATCGAACTCGGGTCCTTGGGCTTGTGAAGCAGGCGGCGGAAACACTGAGCTAAATCCCTGGCCCAACTTTCACATATTTTATAGACTGAAAATACAAAAGGTAAAGCTTATAAGAAACAGCTTTTACATAGGTACACAGATAAGTAGTGTTTAGAGTTTAGATCTACACTAGCACAAAGCCAATTACATACCACCTCATCATGCCATTTTTAGAGATGAAGCTAAAGTTTCAAAGAAATCAAATATTTATTGAAAATTATCACATGTATGATAAATCTAGGTATCAGAACAATCTGGTTTATCATAATGCAAATAATCCAGATAATATTTCTCATTCACCAATAAATATATTTTGAATGTGAAATATATTTTGAATGTGTCTATTTTATCTTCATGGTGACTTATTCCCTACAAAGTCCTTTTCATGTATAATTACGGGGAGTGAATAGCTGATCCTTCAGTTGTTATCCACTTCTAAGACAGAAAAATGGTGTAATTATCTCCATTATATCTCAGAATATATCTGCTATGAAACAACACCAGTACTTAAATTTTAACTTCAAAGTAATTAGCATATATTTCACAATTCTTACATCAGCTCCATTGGGACCTTGAGGACCTCTTGGGCCAGGAGGACCAGGTGGACCCTGTAAAATAAATAATAAAGTTTAAAAGGGTAAAACTCAAATGCATTTCCAAAATTTGTCTTTTTAAGAAAACTAAAAAAAAAAAAGCCTGTGAAGTCATAGTCAGTGAAGCATATAAGGGTGATACGTTTTTCTTAAAGAATACAACATCATGTTATCCAATGCCCCTTTTCACATAGCTATGAGGAAATCAGTACTTCAGAAATAAAACAACTTGACAAGGAAGCCTATGGCTACTGTCTAGGATAAGGTCTAGGATGAAACAACTAACAATATTTTGTAACAGAATATAATAAATTATAAAGAGAACAAAACGTAGGAACAAAAAATGTACTTTGCTAGATGTAGAATTAATTAATTCAATAAAAGCACTATGTGCTCTATTTATTTGTTATTTGGTTTTATGCAGTGTGTGTGTGTGTGTGTGTGTGCGTGTGTGCGTGTGTGCGTGTGTGAGTGAATTCTTCAGTTCTACATACTAGAAATGGAAATAAGAGTAGCTATTTAATTGTATTCCCAAAACAAAGTTTCTCTTTCCTGAGTGTGCATTTAAATTACCTCAGGGCACTTTTTATACACTACTGATGGCTATAACTCCTTACCTCAAAGCTGTGTTTAAAATAGTGACTAGTAGCCTGTAGTGACTACTACATTATTAGTAGTATTTTTTAAAAGGTCTCATTTTATTTTGATGCCATGCTTGAAAAGCTTTTCTAGTTTTACTTATTACCATAAAATCAAGGAGAATGTATCAACGATATGTAACAATGATTCATAGAACCAGAGCAACCCTATCAAAAAAGTAACTAGCTATGCATCTGATACTGTTTGGAAGGATTCATTAGTTATTTGAATTGACAGTACTTATTATGCATTCCATACAGTTAGGTTTAGCAAATATGAAATGTATTTCAAATAGTATAATATAGGTATGATCATTATAAAATATAATATACAAGTGTAAAAATATCAAATGAAACTAAAATTTGGGGGCAATGGAGAAAGGAAACCACAAGTAAGAGATGTGTTCATTACATTTTACTATAGATTTCCATTACTTTGGTAAATTATTTTTATGCAATGTTTAATAAGTAAATAAATGCACTTCAGATTGTACATGAAGTCTTAGAGTAGAAAAGCAGGCTTAATAAATACAAGTAATCTCAATTCATTGCATTCTGTACAAAATAATTCTTTATTAAATTTACATTTTGTTTCAAGATACATGAAATATTTTATTCTCTATAAATATTTGCAACTTATAGAAATCCTGTGAGCATATAACATGTTATTTACTTGTTCCACATCAAAGTCCAGAAAAAACTAAGAAATAACTAATATGTGAAAATTCATGATACTCAATAATATATGGAGGATACTAAAAACAATATATGAACCAATGAATATCAGATATGCATATATCATTATGTTGAAGCAAACAAAAGAAAGGAGAGATATTCAAAAAATGTATTAACAATGTTTAATGATTTGCATATGGTGATTGCGTGGCAAAAAAAAAAAAAAAACAGGTCAATACAGCAAGTACTATAAGCTTAAGACTGGACTGATCCTATTAGTAAATTCTAATCAAGACATGAAAGGTGTGGAAATATACAATATCCATCAACTTACCATGGGGCCAACATCTCCATTTTCTCCTTTTTCACCAGGTGGGCCTGGTAAGCCCTAAAACAACAGAGTAGAAAAATAAAAGCCACTTATGTATTTAAAACCATATGTTGGTGAATTTCTAAGGAAAGTTAAGTAAATACATGGAAACTAATATTTAGAGACTCACATTTGCTGAAATACTTATATTTTAAGTGATGTACAAATGTGATGAAATCTTACATCCACATTCACAAGTAAACTTTATTTTATGTATAATATTAAGCCATTTAATTTTTATTACAATAACTAAATACACAATTTGATCTTGGAATTTATGACATAACATATTTCTTCTTGTTCTTGTTTTTTAATGTTTGTACTGCAGAATTTCAGATTACATCTAAGAAATACAAATACAAATAATGCTCAAGATCTCACCACCTGATATTTTAGTAAAATTATTGACATTTTAGTGCTGAACTGCAGAGGCTAGGAGTTATGTGATTATGACCAACACTAAATACAATTTATTTATTACCCTTATGCACGCATGCGCAAAGTAGCTGAAACATGAATTTCAAAGAGCAGTATTTACCTTTTTGCATAGATAATGACCTTTGAGACTTTTATTCTATTTTACCTTAACTTGCTCAATTTCCTTTTTTAAATGCAGAAAATAACCCACTAAAATGTTTTTTATGACCTACTAATTCCACATAATTTTCAGTGAGGAGATTGTTTTACTGAATGTATTTCCAAAGTTTTAAGTGTACAGTATATTCATTTTCATGAGAAAACCCTAATTACTACTTTATAATGGATAGTACACACCAGGATTTTTTTTATTGTTTGTTCAAATGCCAGTACTAAGGTGTTTAAGAAAAGAGATGGCTATTGTGCTTCCCAAACTGTTTCCCTGCTCTGAGACCCACTTCCAGACCTCCAAATGAAGTTCTTGGAAAGAACTATCCAAGTAATGTTTTCTACATCTCAGTCTGCCCCAAAATTACCAGAAGGCGATTACTGAAGTTTTAGATTCCCATGCCCTCAACTTCAGAGATTTTATTTCATTTATAATGCACAGAAACTTAAAATACTTAAATATAAATGCAGAGTTTAACGGATGACATAAATATTTCACTTTAGGACCATTTTCTTAAGTTGTAGGTATTGCAAATTAAATGTAAAATTTGAGGAAACACTACATACCATAACAGTCACATCCCTTTTCTTTTGTTCAATTTTCTACATATTTTAGTATAGAATCCCTAAGTTGGATGATACATTAATGTGCGGACACATTTTCAGAAAAATTAATGATACTTGATAAAAAACATTTGAAGTTTCACTATATAAACAAAATACTCATTATGCCCAATTACTTACATAGAAGAGAGAACAGACCCTTTGTTTTACCTCCACCAAGACAAGTTAGAGTGAGGAGCAATGACCATGTAAACAGTGTGGAGAACACCTTACCTGAAGACCTATGGGACCAGGAGGTCCAGGGAAACCTCTTGAGCCTTCATCTCCTTTTTGTCCAAACATGCCCTGCTGTCCTCTGGGGCCTGGCTCACCATCACCCCCCTAAAGAACAGTAAGGGAAATTACCACACATTGGAAAAACCATCCTGACATACTATAGAAGTATATTGTCCTCCATAACTCATTAAAAGCTAATTTATTTGAGAATAACCAAATAAAATGTAGACAAAATTCCCATTATTTGTTGCAAATATACTTGTTTGTCTTCCTAAAATTCTTTGTTTCCAGAGTATGGTTGACTGATTTGATTGAGCACACTAAATAAAGTAATAACTGTGTAATGAAAATAACCTTCAAAATTTATTGCATATTGAGTACTTATAACTAGTTATTCTCTTTGCAAACCAAGACATACTGCTTTTTGTTTATCAGGATCAGCTAGTTTAGCTACATTAATTTAAATGTGATTCAACATCAAGCATAGAAAAAAGGTACTGCCACAAAAAATTCACTGGTTATGTGACAAATTCATAAATATAATCAGGAAGTTGTAAAGATTTAGATTTGGTGAACAAAGTAGAGTACTTACAGCAATTCCAGGGGCACCAACTGGTCCTTGGAGACCCGGGGGGCCAGGAGGACCCTACAGAGAGGTAAAAATCAATCATTTTGAAATCCAGAAAAACTTCAATTACATATAGCAAAACCTTTGGCTGATTACAAATTTATAAAAAGAAAACCTTATTTCAGAGTCATTTGTACTCAGGTCAACTGTTAATTATTTTACAACTTGGAAACTCATACTTTCATAACTAGAGTCAATTTTAAACTGACATTTATTGAAAAGAAGTAGCACTTTCAATGTTGTAAATTTCTTAAAATGGAATTGTATGCTAATCTAAATCAAGTTGAAGATTCACATTCGAAAAATTTTAAAACATGAGATTTCTTTCATGAGATATGTATGAGTCAGAAGCAACACATAAAATTATTTTCCTGCTTACTAACTTCTAATGAACATCTGGATTCTGAGGATTCTATAAGGATGAAATGTAATGATATATGAAATTTAAAAATGCTTCCCATACACACATGCCAATTTAGTAGTACATTAAACATAATCAAATACTTATTGTGAACAATAGATCTCAAAAGTCACTATGAATCTTATATGCACAGGTACTTTTTAACTAATTTATTTTCTTATTTAATAACCGGTCAGACTGCATAAAAGTTTCAGGCATTAAAAAAATAAAAGTTATTGGATTCTATTGTTCTTTATCACAGTATTGGCTTTTAGGGGAAATTGTCTCAAGCAAAGAGTGAAAATGTTTTCCAAGGATACTTCAGAACCTTTCATGTTTCTGGAAGCTCAAAACTGTTCTCATAAAACCCTATGACATTAGTTTTCTTTTATTATATATAGAAATTTTGCAGTCATGACACAAAAGAAATAGCGGATGAAATTGCTGGTGGCTTAGCAGACATCATGTCAATAGATAAAACTCTATAGCACTCATATAACTTTCATCAACATATACTCTTACCCATCACAAAGATGGTTATGTTCTTGATGAGGCACTGAAAGTTCTTAGTTTTATCAAATATTGACTGTGTACGAGTCTTTTGCTATTGGTGTGACCACATTTAAAGACACAAAGTTCTTTTATACTGTACTTAAATGCAATGTCTATCACATAAGACATTTAGACTACAGTTTAAGTTGCAATCTGAACTAGTAAATTTACAGGAAATACTATTTTCACTTGAAAGCGAGACTGATCATAAAACTTATTATTTAGAATTGGGAATATGACAGGAATATATTCAAAATATGGCAAGGCTTTGTTTCTGTTTTTCCCTTTTCTCGTATTTATTCATTTTCCTTCTTTTTCCCTACCCCTCCCGCTTCCCCTTCCCTTTTGTAAATAGAGAGAGGTGGGGGGGTTGAAGGAAGGGCAGGGGAATGGGAAAAAATAAGAACCAAGATATATCATGTAAAGGTACAAATTCCCACAGATGAATGTTGTCATAGTGTATACCTAAAATGTACCAATAAAATTAATGAATAAAAAAAGAAAAGAAAACATAGCAAGGCTCTGACTTCAAGGAAAACAACTATTTATTATCAATGATAAAATTTAAACGTCAAAGTATATTAGAATTTTTGAAATCTTTTATCTCTCACTGTGGGCCTCATAGCTACCCTTTCTGAAAATATTTTAATAAAATAACACAAAGAGCTCGCTAGTTTGGTATCAGAATCCCTATTAAAGTTGATCCTTAAGAAAAAATCAGCATTTATGAAATTTATATGTGGAATTAAAGAATATCCAAACTTAACTGAGATTTTTTTAATGTTTCCCTCTTTTCCAAATATATATTTGTGTGAACTTGGATTTCAAACAAAACAACATGTCCTTACAGACTTAACTGAGAAACAGATTTAAGACTATAGCTTCTTCTATTACGGCAAGCACAGATAATACATGCTAGTCCTTGTACTGTATATATTTGCTTGAGGGAAAATATAGGTATTATTCATTAAATATGTTTGTTATTAATTTTAAATAAATCAATACAAGAATATTTAAACTTTTCTTATGGTAAATCATAGTATAAAAACCCACAGAGAAAAAAAGCATCTTGATGTCTTAAGAAATATATGGAGTGTAAAAGACAAAACTGTTTGAAAATGAATAGCTTAAATATTAATCACACGGTCATATTTAATTAGCTTTTAAGGAAGAAAAAACTTTTTCAAACATACCTTTTGTTAAATGCATACAGTATTTTAATTAGATAATAGTGTATGTACTTTACTGCAATTATCTCCCAGTTGTTTTTGTTTTGATTCTAGATTTTTCTTCTTAGGTATAAACATTCATCTCATAGGATTTTGCAAGTCAATTCTAATAAAACCTCTTTTCAAAGTTGTGTGTTAAGGTATTCAGTAATTTCAACTAAGAAGGCAACAGAGTAACAGTTGAGCCAAGGACAGAACTGGATTTGTCTATTAACAATAACTACTAGGGCTGATACATACATTTCTATACTGGGTCAAAAATATACAAATGGACATTACTTTATCAATTTGAATTTCTATTAGAAAGCAAATATGTAAACACTTAAAGAAAAATGGAAATAATTTAGGAAGTAAATATCTATAGATATTATTTTAAGAATACAAAATAACAAAAATATTCTTCAGTACAGAAGCTATCATCACCAAATGTATTTAATCTAAGAAAGAGGAAATTTTTACAATATATTATTTGAATAGTATTTAAAATGGTAAAGATTGAAGAAAAAGTCTTAGAGGTTATAGTGAATACATCATTTTTGTGAGAAACAAATTATTTTGATAGATTCATTTGTTAACCAAAATGAGTACCATATATGAGAAAAGCCTTATTAATCTGCAGTCACATAGAATGTAGCAGTTGTATTTATTTTGATATATATATATATATACATATTTTTCTCATAATTATATGGAAAAAAGGCTATTTCTTTTGCTAAAGTGGAGATTATAAAAAAACTTGTAAATATCAGACTTTACCTATCCACATAAATATAAAAACTCAGAGATTTATACACTATTCCAAATTATACAACCACAAAAGATAATAAAATACTAATGTTATAACATTTGGCTAGTGAACCAAGTAGTACTATGAAAAAATATCCATGGAAAACAGTAAAAGGTGTTAAGTGAAGATGCAGTCTCAGTAAGTACTAATCAACTCACATTTTCTCCTTTGTCACCCTTGCTGCCTTTTTGTCCTGGTTCACCAATTTCACCCTGAATTTGAAAGATTTAAGTTAATCTCTGTCATATATGCCATTGCACTGTCATCATTATCATTTAATGTAATCACATGCTAGTGTTTAATAACACAGTTTAAAGTGTAGAATCCTGGGCTCTCTCTGCTCTCGACTTTCTGATATTGACTAATACACAGACAAACCAAGTTAGTTTAATATTGAGGCATATTGAAACTATACAATTTAAATTATTTATTTTGTCTCAGATACCATCATTATAAACTAATAATGAAAGTACATTGATTTACAGGCAAATAATCACACATTAATCAAAAAGTACTTTTCTTAGTTTTCCAAATATTAGTATGGTATATTATCATAGCTCTGATTCACAAATGTTCTATTGCATTTTGTAATAATATTAAAAATATATGTAATTCAAATATTTAGCATGACCTTACAGAATAAAAAGCTTAGTGTTGTATATTTTGGAAAAAGGGAGTAGGGCAAGTGAGTAACTCAATCGTACTGTGCAATATCCAAGACACAAGGGCTAAACATGTACAAGTAATTATTTTTATTTTATATGCATTTCAGAAAAAAATAAATGCTCTGGTTATAATTATTTTCTTATTCCATTTTTTCTTTTTGTAATCTGTATACCATTTAATGTAGGACAAATTAATCTTCAAACTCTAAAACAAAACTTTTGAGCACATGGAAGGTGCAATAAAATTTGAAAAAGGTAATCTTTCAACTGAAGTCTAAAGCTGAGAAATGCTAATTACAGAATGCTTGAGAAAAAAAAATCAAGCTCCTTCACAAACTGTACTAACACAAATAATGAGCACCAACCTTGTCTCCATCTTCCCCAGGAGAGCCAGCAGGACCAGCTGGCCCCGGGAGACCCACAGGACCTTGAACTCCATCTCTCCCTGCAGGGCCTTGGGGACCTTTTTCTCCCTGCATTGAAAATTCAGCAGATCGATAATTTGCTTTAAAAAACAGTGAATTAGCTATTCACTGCAATATTTAAATATAACTACAACTACATGTATAGCTAAATAAACTAGCTCCTATTTTTGACAAAAATAAATTGTTTAATAATTCTAAGGGAGAAAAACTTCCAGCTATCAGATGGTACCAGAACAGATCTCTACATTCTTTCATCACTAAGAGCACTGTCCTTTTCAATCATTTATGACTCTGCCTATGGCCCACAAAACTTATTAGGAGTCAGCTGAGAATTTTTCTTTCAAACACATACTTTCTAAGCAAGACTTGGCAC